AGGCATAATCCTACGCGCACAAATGTGTTCCCTGGGTTTCAAACTCACTACTGATTTTCTTGAGCAATATTCAATATGAAAATGTTCTATAAATTCTCCATGCTACAAGTTCAACAAGAAGTAATATATTTATAATAATGATAAGAGAATATAGAATTGAATACGAAAATTCGGAAAATTTGTTTTTACGTGTATAAGGTAATTTAATTGGAGAATGCTGCTTAACTACTCAGTTGTCTGGACAATTCAATTTAAGGTTAAATATTCACGCAAAAGAGGAGAAAAATAAAATTATTGAGAACGGTATGCTAGTAGACCTGCGGCAAGAGCTCAAGTCAAATAGATAATATATTATTTCATACACTCCAGATTATCATATGTTCTTGTAAACTTGATATACGCCGTTATCCTTCATTCCATGCATGTAGTATATTTTTTGGATATTATTTTGGCAATGTACACCTTGTTGAAAATTTGCGATACGCATATTTTAATATCCTCACATGTACCGCAAAAATAGTGCAAGTTTCTGTAGTATAATTTGTGTTGTAGTTCCGTCAGTTTGTTAAAACAGGTTCTGTGCAAATAGCGATAAATACACCAGGAATTTTATAATACTTTAATAATAAAATGTGTATCTTTTTGTTTAATATTTTGTGGTTATCGGGTTGTTGATTTATCGAGTGAAGTTGGATGACTTTAACCCTAACTTCGTATATGCTGACCATACCGCCGAGCCGAGTTATCTGAGAAACATCTGCGGATAATTAAATTTTCAGAAGAATGCTCATATGTTTTGCCGCTGCGAAAGTTTGGTCCGAATTATTAAGCATCGTTTTTTTTTTAATCAGCTGTTTAACGATCGCAGGTTTAAATCAGTTAGTTAGGATCATACAGCGATAGCGCTCTGGACACAAAATGGCTGGTGTGACGTCACACGAGCGCTTATAACGTTACCAATGGTTGTCCTCACTTGGTTTATAGTCACTTTGACCTGAGCGTGCTGACAAACGAGTCACGCCCGCTTCCCACTCTTGCGGGTAGAAACAGGTATAATAAAGTCACGTTTCCTGGTACCATGATGTTTTATTGCAACTTTGCACTTCTTACTGTTTTTATCTTCAAATATTACCAAATATAACTACAATTTTATAGATCATGCACCTGATTGAACACCGCGACTTCTTGCGCTTTTGCGCAACAACACGTCTGCAGAAACTACCATAATTTCCTTAAAAACGTACTGAGGCGGAACTTTGCATACGCATATTTCCGGTGCAATTGATTTGAGTACTTTAGAGACTATTTGCATTGATTCTAAGAACACGTCATTCAGGCATTTGAATCTATTAAATATCAATTTCTTATATTCTGGAATATCATCTGTTCGTCAAGCGGAAATAATGATTTGTCATTCCCTTACAATCAAGATGATAATTAAATAATATCGGAAGATCAGAAAATCGGCTTTTTGAAAATCGGCGTGTCGATATCGGATCAGTATCGGACAAGTGGGATACAGCATTTTTGATACACCCCGATTAACTGCCTGGGAATAAAACGATACAATGTGACACAGGTAGTATGACATTACATATACAAAACACGAAGAGGTGATAGTCATTTTATTAATGTCACGTAAACTGGGACATCTCCTTCTTACTTATATGAATCTTTGTAAGTAAATTTTTCAAATCATATTACAAAAATAAGAAATAACTGGCCTAAGACACACTCTTGACAATTTTATCGCATATATAGTAAATACATGATTGGATTTTGTGGTACTGGTAAACACATTACTGTAGCTCTAATGGCGCCTTCTCACCTAATACACTGCCCTGGTTTATTTATTGGTTCTGGTCCAAAATAGGAATCACATATTAAGCATATGGGGAAAAAATATTAATTCCTCGGTATCCCAAACGCAATACGATGAGGACAAGAACTTTAAATTTGAGGAGAAACATGAAACAGCCCAAAGACACGCCATTTGTGAGGTCCCTCTTTAACAATGACGCCACACGTAATATATGTTGGCGTCATAATAGGCTTTTCGCGTTTATGTTAAATGTAGTATGGCGCCATAAAATAGCAAATCGATTAAACTACGACATTTCGAAGAATGGGAAACTACGATTGCTCATCAACCAATTAGATTGGATAGTAGATTAAGAAACTCAAGGCTATAATAAAACGCCATGGTACCGAGTATAATGTTTTCAAATTTAGACAAATTCATATATTCAACCGCATTTAATTTTCAATATTCAAAGCGGTAATTAATTTTTTTTTTTATTCATTATAGATTTTGATTTATGCAAATACAAAAAACTCTGCACTGCAAATAATTTAAACGTATATCATTAAAAAAAATAACAGAGGTCAGAGCCGGATTCACTGTAGAAATAAAGAAGCCCTGCGGCCCTATACAGTACCCTGGTGCCATGGCGCGGCCTTGAATTTCTCAACCTCACAAAAGGTATAGCTCAGGGCGTGCTTTAGGCATCCCGTCAAATTTTGAGATTCTATCTTCATCGTATTGAGTTTGCAAGTGGCATCGACGAATCTTTATTTTGTCACCATGGGCCAGAACCACTGATTTGTATAATATCACCTGTTCTGATTTGATGCCAATTTTGCAAATTCAGCGTAATATATGAGACGAAAAAGTGCTCTAAACTTGGATCATTGGAGCTACAGTAATCTGTTTACCAGTACCCCAGAATCCAATAACGCATTTCCTATATTATATATGTGATAGAATTTTCAAGACATTTTTCTTTGAGATAGTTATTTTTTATTTTTTAATGTGGTTTTCAAATTCTGAGAGTTATGTAGGTAAGAAAGTGTAGTCATAATTTACGTTTTATATATTTACTATTACCTGTCCTAGGTTATTCAATTTCTCAAAAAACAAAAAATTCTTCCCAATTTCCGAGTTTTTTTCATTTCGCCATAAACTGAAATATTGCATCATTCGAAATTTTGTTTTTCTTTTACTCAGTAAGAACTAGAATATTATATTGTAAGTGATTTTCCTAGAATTTTAATAGCCACTGACATTAGAGTAGAATGTAGATGCTGCGACTCCGAGTAGGTTTGCGTTTGACGAAAGTAAGACAAATGGCTCTTTCAGTGCTAAAGGTTGCCTGCCGACCGTGGTAGACGATCGTCACGAAACTCACATATTAATAACGCACACGTTTATTTCATCATATACGTGATAACATTTTCACCGCTTAATATTTCCTACCAGAAATAATAAAATTGATAAACAATTGCAATTTCACAGATACATGATATCACCATAAAATCGCCAGATTTATTTGCGTGGAATACTCATTAGTCATTATGAAATTTTCATCATTTCGATCATTCGTATATACGAACTTATCTGTGAGCATCTGACTCAAAACTACAAACGGCTATGAACATATTATACAGCCCATAGCATCTTTTCTATTCCAGCTTCACGTCTTCAAAATCGACCTAGTCAGCTGGTAATTTCATAGTGTCCAACCCCAGTACATTCATATTGAGTTACATAATTGTTATCAACTAATAGGAATATACATACGAGTGTCCAAATAAACCAGGGGTCTCCAACTCAACCCTGTCGCGGGCCACTTTTTGAAATTTATTGACGACGCGGGCCGCAAACCAACAAATTAGGTACACATGAAAAAAAAAATCTGAATATATTTGTTGAAATTGCACTTGAATCTTTCACCAAACGAGACATTACACATATTCATTTAGTTGTGGTGGACATTTGGCACCATTTTGTAGAGGTGAGAGACTCGATTTAGCGTTGGTTTACTATTATTGAGACAGCATACAAACTCTTGTTCGTTAGTCGTGTGCAAAAGGCTGATTTGTCAACTTTTATTGTTGAAAAAAATGCTGCTGTTACTTCACAAGCCTTCAACATACACTCTTTATTAAAGCTTCTTTCAACAAAAAAACGCGACGATTTTGAAATCATCTCACTTATGGCAAAGATTGCTTTCACCGAAGCTTCACAAAGTTTTATTCGTCCAAGAAAAAAATTCTTTGTTTCAAAAGTGAAAATTTTAATTGCAATACCCCTTTCGTGACGAATTGTTTTAGTATAGAAATGGTATTTTCCCCTGTTTAATGAGTCGTAATATCGTCGGATGTTGTATTTCTTTTGAACAGCAATAATTGCACAACGCATGAGACACTGAACCCTGATATCATAATTTCACAATATTTTGTGCTTCTCCAAACATTTACACTTCTCGAGTATTGTGTATGGGTTTACTACTTAAAAAAAGTTTATAATATTCTAGTTTTTCGTTAACTGCACACATACAGAATTAATGATTCATAACTGCACACTTCAATGATCTGACCGAAACTTGTTTAATTTGTCATAATAAAAACGCGGAATTAAATTGAATTTACAATTTAATTGTCACAACAGAATGAAATACGAACACGATAAAATTCATAGTTAACGTCATACTAATTTAGTTTATTCTGAAAATCTTAACCATGGCGCAGGCAGCAAAAAATTGCCTGGCGGGCCGCACGCGGGCCGCGTGTTAAAGATCCCTGAATTAAACTGATGTCTAAACTCTACCTACACCGACAAACTCGACAAAAATAAATCTATCGGTAGAATTACATGTTCAATTGTATTCAATATTTCAAATCTTAATGAACGGCTTTGTTATACGTACATATGAATCTCGAATCATTTTATTCGCCTTAAATACAAGCAAGATGAACGATATTACAAGAAGAGGAAATTAATAAATAACATCATGTATTCTCAGAATCTGCGTTGTTATCTGCATCACGTATGAGATGAGAAATTTGAAGGTTATATCACAGATAGATGCAACAGATGTGTGAATATGTAAAAGTATTTGGTTTTTACTTGTTCATATTGAAAACCTAATGTGTTACAAAAATTCAAGAAAATCATTATATTGTTGAAGGATACTTGAGATCCCTGTGGATTTTAAGACTTAGTTACACTGAACGCGTTGTCCTGTACGTTCATCGATCCAATATGCCATGCAGGATCCACATCTTGTTACGCGACATCTTGCGTTGGGATTTCCGCGACACACCAATGGCCTGCCATAGATGTCAGAACAAATGTTGGCAAAACAAGAACTGTATTCTTGCACACCTCCGTCGCACCGACCTACAAAAAATAAAGACTGTTGCATAAAAAAACTACAGTATAATAAGGTGCAATAATGTGGAAGCGCTATAAATGGGTCATCCAAATGTCAATCGTAGACAAGATATTCAATCATTTGCATAACATCGATGAATATTATTTGTACTCTTGAGTTTTCATGACAACTAGTATAAATAATTTTCTAGTTTACTTACAATACTGCGTAATCATCTGATTGGTGTATTGGTCATAAAAATGCACATCACATTGTCCTGGGATCGGTTGACATCTTGCGCCCACATTTTTGGGACAAACTAGTTGACTGCATAGGTTCGGTGGGCAATAAGGTGCATATGGTGGAGAAACTACGGGAGTTTGACGCCCACCGTTTGACATGGCCAGAATGGCAAGTAACATAGGATCTAATGTCTTGCGGGGAGGTGAATCTGTGAAAAATATTTAATAACATATTTTAGAAAATTAAGAATTCAAATTAGGCACAAAAATATAAAAAATAAAATATTTTTGACGTTTTAAAAAAAGATTAAATACTGCAGAATATCGTTTAGTTTTGTTGCACCAACACAACATTTTCACCTGGGGGTACGCATTGAGTTCCGCATCCTGTTGAACAGCAGATATTATCTCCTTCGCAATCTTTATTTTCTGCACATGTTGGATTTAATTCAAGGCATGTATCGCCAGTAACTTCCGGAAACTCGCATTGTTCATCGAGCAATGCTAGATTTTTTAATAAAAAAAATCGATTACAATTATCAAAACACTTGGTCAGGAGCTTGATTGGTTTCCCTCTTTATTCCATATTTTTTTTATGATTTGATTATATACTTCTCGAAACTAAGGATTGAGCCGTCTCATATAACAAAACACTATTTCAAACTCTTTTGTTTCCAAATTCAAGTTTTTTAACTGAAACAGTAATGTTTCTTCAAAACACATTTTTCTTGACAGACAAAGTACTCACCTGTTTCACACATGGTACCGACATATCCTTGTGGGCATAAGCAACTGAAACCATCGTTAGAGTCGTCATTTATGCATAGTTTATTCTGGTCCGTACATGTTTTCAGTTCTACGGCATTTTCACATCCTGGTTATGATAGAATTAAAAAATAATTCTGAAAACAACTTTTATATAATAAAACACAACTTTACAAGTATTTAGTGAGTATATAATCTGATTATTTTACTTTAGATTATCATGCCTTATTAATGTTTTGAATTGATGTTTGGTTTTTCAATTAACAATAGAGCAATGCATCAAATATAGGGAAACACGAAAGTCTTCATCACACACAACTTCAACAGGAAAAATAATTTCCATAGAGCATACGGAAATTTTTCAAATAGATAAAAGTAATATCCTTCTATAGAGAACAACAATCTTTAATTTACCTGAAATTAAAAAAATGATTCATAGTTTCACGTTGTGTCGTATACCCATTTTAAGCAATATTGCCCTGTTCTAGTATTTATAAAATCTCACCTAACGGTAAGCAAGTGGTCGAACAGGCGTCCGGTGCTACACAGCATATGTGTTTTGATGGACAATCGCCCGGTTCTGTGCATTCTTCAGTGTTAGGACTTTCACAAACATCAATGATATCATTCGGTAATGGACATCGTTCATCTATATCTTTGTCTATGTGAAACAATTTGTGATGGAAAAAAATTAGCTGGAATTGGCCCCTTCAGAAAAAAATCATATTAATTCAATATAATGATATAACAAGAATAATATATATATATGTGTGTGTGTGTAAAAATAATCCAACCATAATAAGTAACAGGGTTTCGTTCGCAGCCATGTATAGCACAAAACGATATCGACTTCTGGAGATATAAAACATTGAATATGTGATTTTTGAAAGGTAAAATTTTCAATTTTTCAATAGTTCCAATACTCACGTTCCATGCAATCCTCGCCTCCAAATCCTAACGCGCACGTGCACATATATTCTTCCACATCAATTTTAAAACATACCTGATTCGCTTTACAATCATTAGTTGTTGTACACTTAAGTTCTGAAATTTGAGAATTTGAATATTGAGCGTATAAATGTGGCAATGTACTGACGATTCATTTTTTGATACATTTTTTAAATCAATCAAAATATCAAATATATTGGGTACATTGGTATATTAGTTTTTCTCAATGAACTGTTCTTGCAAACAATTATTGCCATAAAAATGGTATAAATGAATAGTTACATATACGTAGTGGTCTTTTAAAAATACAAGTTACAACACGACTGGACCTTCGTGATTGCGGCCCTTTTTTAAACGATATTATATATTTGTTTGCGAAGTTAGATCATATATTAATGAGAACGGCAACGCTGGCATGTATTTATTTACATCTCACAACATATTTCATAATTAAATTATTTTCGTGTCAACCTGTACCGGTAATTTTGTTCATCCGCGGTCGTCATTTAGTGCATGCTTGAGGCAATATTAATTTTTTTCTGATTTTAATAATACTGACGAAAACTATTTGGTAACGCCCCTTTTATTTTTTATTGCACTTTTAGAAACGTAATGAATTTTTCAAACCAAATTCTTGGATATCATTAAAAATTTACTTTTGAGTTCATTCCAGATGTGCCAATATGTAAATATTATGCTTCGAAATCGGTTGCAATGCAAGTATGCGGTTTTTTGGAAAGGTAAAATTATATATACTGAAAGCAGATATATTTTAACATTTTAATAAACCTTTTGTTTGCAAACATAAATCACCTATTTTAAATATGTTTCACATTTCCAAAAAAATATTTTCTTACTGAAGCTGTAATTATATCTCTTCCGTGTCAGTCTTTACCGCTCACTCCGTTTTCCCGCGTTTATCATTTAATGTCCGCCTGAGGCAATAGTAATTAGTCTTTTAGTGAGATTGTCCACTACTGACTATCAACTTTTTCGACATTTTAATTCTGTATGTACGGACGGTATTTTTCGATTTCTTAACTAACGGTTTGGAAAATCACATCGTAAAAATCGATAAATTTCTACCGCGAAATCCCATAATTTCATACATCATTTTTTCTTAATGAAGTACGCAACATTTACTGATTAAATTGTAGAAAATTCAACGTTTTTAAAATTCTTGGAAATAGTATGTAGAAATAAGCTCAAAAATTGATGCCAATGCAAATCTGCGACGCTTCAGCGATTCTTTATCTAGTGCTGATTTTATGTATTAATACGTCAACATGTTATCTCTAATCGCTTAGTTATTTAGTTCAAACATAGGTCAATATTTTACTATCTCGATTGCAAGCTTTTAGACGATTTATTATGTGAGCTATCTATATATTTGATCAAAGCAGAATGTTGAATTATAAATCTAATATTCTACGATCCAAGTTCCATCGCTATGTATTTAAACATTCGTTGCAATTGATCGTTATTTTCGTAATAATCAACCTTAATAATAGATTCTGAAATTACTCCCGCAAAAATATGAAAACATATTCGAGAAATTTAATAGGGACGAAGTTGAGTCGATAGACCAAGTTTACTATTTATTGTTCTTGGATACAAGACATTACTAACCCGGTTTAATATAACATTGTTGTCTCCACACAGTTGAACAACAAATCTCGTGATCTTTTGGCAAATTTTCATTTGAACATTCTGGGGGGAATTTCCGGGCATCTACCCCTGGATCGGCGGGTAGGTCACACTTCTCGTCAATAAGGCTTGTATCCGCTGTATATAATAAAAATAATTCAACCGTTTACTTTCACGCATAAATGATTATTTCACAGGATAAAAAGATTGTTATTTCTTGTTTGAGAAGTTGCAACACATAGTGTTGTTAGTGTTGTATATATAGAAAGTGATAATTTAAAAAACTGTAAAAGTTATGTATCTTCCTCTTTTATTTTAAATTTATACCAAAACAGCAAACACTGTAGAACAATCAATACCAATCCTAAACAGTTATAAAATATAAATATGTTACTAGGTTCGGAAGAGAATTTTTTTTATTCACCAAATTGGATGGTTTTTGATCAATATTGGATCTTCTCATTATTGCGGTGTCCAAATATTTGACGGTGAATTCTATATTTTTTATACTGCGATCGTCATATGTAATATAAAAATTGATACTACCAGTGACCACAATTGGATATAAAACGATCATATATGTCTTACGTTCCTTGCAGTCGTCCCCCTTAAAGCCATAAGGACAATAACAGCTTCCAGAGTCATAACCGTAGCAAATTTCGTTTGACTCACACCCATCTGCAGAGGAGCATGAGTCTCCTAAATGTAGAATGAGATAAAATTAATCGATATTGGTATGCAGAGAATTTTTCATAGCTTTATTTAAATAGTCTGAGTTCAGAAAGTCATATGAAATCAACAAGTAGAACTAGGATAAAAATCTCCAATATGGAAATGGGCCTATTGGTCCGCAGTTGTAGGCTAAATGTTTGATGGGCTTTTGAAATTGGCAGAGAATATCTCATTTTAAACTGATCCTTATTCACAAATAGTAATAAAATTTAATTTATTTGGGAGAAAGCAAGATTAAAAAAACAATACAAAATAACAATAAGCTACTTTGAAACGATGAATCACTAACCTGAACCAGTCTTTCCTTCCCCACTACCAGCTAACAAGCAAAGGACTAATATATAGAAATACTTATACATGGTGAAATATTTGCAAGGATCAAAACTTCACCGATATATCGACAAATGTGAATTATTTTAACGTGAAATTGAACTTTTAATCTAGAACAATTTGCCCTCTGGTCAAGACAGTAAATTACTTTACCCGTATTATGACCAGTTTTTAAGTTGTTTCCTCGTCTTACATTTGTTTCATTGTCATCTACAACGAAATGCCCTTATCAATAACTCATGGGGTACCTAATTGGCAAACAAAATCATTTTTGTATCAATTGTTGTACCATAGATAGAGTACAATATCATTTAATATTGGAGATTATCAAATGATATATTTTTGTTTGAGAATGATAAATTGGGAATTGGGATGATGACATTAGAGCAACAAAAGTAATAAAACTTATCTCGATCGGGCAGGTAGATTATTTACTATTTAAAAACAAAAAAGCCTGTTTTTAATTAAACGATGTTCTGTTTCGAATCTTTTTGTTTATTTTTTTATTGAAATAATTATTGTAAAATTTTATTAAATTCGACTCACACTTACATCGTTTTACTTTACGTGCGACTTTTGAACGAGACAAACTTGCCTTCTGGTCAAGACAGTAAATTGACCAGTTTTTTAAGTTGTTTTCTCGTTTTACATTAGCTTCATTGACATCTACAACAAAACGCCTTTATCTATAACTCATGGGGTAACTAAGTGGCAAACAAAGTCTTTTTTGTATCAATTGTTGTGCCTTTGAGTACAATGTCATTTATTATTCAAAATTATGGCATGATATATTTAAATTGTGAATAATATATTGGAATAATGAGATGGAGCAACGAAATTAATGAAGCTTAGTTCGATCCTGGAGGTAGATTTTTCTTTTGTATTTTTGTTGAAATACCCTTCGCATCGCCGTCAAACTACAGCAAAATGGTTTTAGCGCCTGCACACGCTGAATGAATAAAAATTTTAAACAGTAAAAAAAGATGTTTGCTTCGACTTACACTTCTATCGCTTTTTCGACAGGTTAGTATCTACACTACAGTCTTACAATAAATTTTGCCAGCAATATTTATCAGTGATATCGCAAAGGCGCATTGATTACGCCACAAAGAACAATAGTGTAATAATGACGAAATATAAACGGAGTCTGAAGTGTAGCATATTGCAACAGGAATAAATAAACTTAATTCTCATAACATTTTCTTTGTCTATATTTAATTAAAAGCCACAGCGTTTTGGTAGAACGCCAATGTTCGTGACGCATAAGTGCTCGTTTCGTTGTCTTCGTCAATATTAAATTTAGGAGAATAATCTTGACACTCTCCATCATGACCTGAAGGTCTTTGCGAGTCTTGACATGAGAATACACATTATTCAGTTCGATTTCCCCAACTAAATCGTCATTTTGGGCGCTCCCGTAGTATGTGAACCAAGATGGCGGTCACCGGAACGTAGAATGTGTACCTGGTTAGGGCATAATTGTATTCCATTTCTCCGTATTTTAGTCATATCACGAATTCGGCGAATAGCCAAGTGACTCCGGTAGTATTTGTACCTAAAATCATTGCCTAACCCTAACCTGGTACACATACTACGTTCCGGTGTCCGCCATCTTGGTTCACCTACTACATGAGTACCCATTTTTTGTGTGAACGAATAAATTTCAACAAAAAAGCATGTTTTGATTTGCACAACCTAGAAGGCAATGAACGACTGACTTATGGGTGAGACGTGTTGAAAGTTGAAAAATAGTTCATGGGGTTGCATTGACGGCTGTACAATGCAGAGATCATAGCGATTAAAGAGCTTTTGGTAGAACAGACTTCCAAAGTGTGATAGGCAGATTGTATATACGTATGCATAAAAGTACGGCTTCCATATGATTCCATCAAAGCGTTCAATTTGGGAATTTCCGATTGGATGAAGCGACGATTGACTGGTGTCTACACCGTCTTTCAGCAAAAAATCTTTCAGTTCAGCATACATATAAAATTTTCCTCTTTTGGAGTGCATAAAACTAAGTAGTCTGCATAGAACAAATAACTTTTCAATGCAGCCTATTACTGAAGCTGGAGAAAGATTGATGCATAGAAATCTAGAATATTTATCGACGATGGTTAGCATGTATACATCATTTGTTCGCGATGACAGAGGTCCTTTGAAGTCCTTACTCAGTCTTTCAAATGACTGTGTGGTTTTGATTAATGTGCCATACGGTGGTGAATAAAATTCCGCACACACGCGGCATAATTTACAAGTTATTTTCACGTCATCAGTCGAGAAAGGCACATATTTCGATTTGACAAAATACAGTATCCTTGTGACGCCTGGGTGACATAAACTTTCGTGTAATTGCTTCAGTTAAGTAGGAAAATTGAGGCGCATGTAGAACGCGTTATGTGCAACATTTTTTGTCGGCGGGGCATAAATAAGTTATATAACCAATATCAGACATCTTACTGGGCCACGCAAAAAAAAATAGTTTTTCCACGTACACAACGAATTAAAAAAATCTGCCAAATGCAAGGTTTTATTGAGACATTTGAAAGTTCTAGTTCTTGCATTGTTCGTTAACATCAGCTTTGACAGACGTTGTAGCAACCACGAACTGACGAAATACATTTGAGACAACCCGAGCGTCTCGATGAAAGCAATAGGAGATAATGCGGCTATCGCTTAACCCTACACGGCTTACAGCCGGGATCACCAAACTACGATCGCGGCGTCATTTTATCCGGCCCGCGATAACACGCAAAAATGGCGAAATTTTTTCCAAGGGAAATTTTCCCGAGCATCGTCTTCCTTGTTTAATTCGTAACATTGGTCAATCAGCAAGATGCAAAAAAGTGACGTAATAATAGTCCGTTTCGCATCCGCTCATACACTTTTGTCATCCTGACAGATTTTCAGTTGTGGTTGGAATATAAACAATACTTCGTTTATGCAATTTTGAATACTATTCGTTAGTTTTTGGTTGTGTTTGGGAAATTCAAGTATGAATTAAATCGGTCAATCATCATTTGCCTCCTCAGGAGTTGTAGTTTAAATAGTAGTCATGAAAAATTAGTCTAGAAATATATGTGACAAAATAGGCTAAAATTCTCTACCGGCACGCAACGTTTTCTGCGAACGTCGCTAAAATGAACGTCGAATGTGAATGTTGGGCTAATAGTACTGTAATCCCTCGCGTCCTGCTCCAATTTCACAAGTCACACTAACTTTTGTATAGCTTAAATTCGGATATACGTATGTTACAAAAAAATTCATTCGATTCGAATAAAAACTTCGCCAGTGGATAGATCTGAGTGAAATGAGAAAACAATATCAAGTTTTTAAAAAACGGTCAAGAAAGGACGGAGATATCGGAATTTTAGTACCGCCCGACAGACCAATTTTTTCCATAAGGATTGTATCAGTCTTTTGATAAGAACTGTAATGAATATGAAAAAAGAACACATATCAATTACTAATCTTTCGATTTGCGTCACATCTATGGAATATTGAGACTATTTCAGGATTTTATTCTGGCAACCGCCTTGACACCACCGAAAGATCGTCGCAAACAAACGCTGGAGTTGTGCATGTTAGTTTGACCGTAAATATATACTACTACAGTAGTTCATTGTGGGTAATAATTAACGATGTTCTGATTGTACAAACTTCATAAAAGTGGTAAGTATCAAGTTAGGAAAGAAATACACACGTCCACATATATTTTATTGGTGTTCATAGACAATATCATTAATTTGCACTACGTATAACTTGAGCGTAATTTTTAAGAGCTCCAAATGTTGGGAAATTTATGCGCTAATGAAAAAAATCAAATACCAGATAATAGTTGTTTATTTTATCTAAATTATGTCAAAATTTCACGGAATTCCATTCTACAACAGGCAGTCCGTAGTCGTTTTTATGAGCGGTTTTCCGACACGGCGTAACGGTACTTAGCAGACGTGATGCGTACAGCAATTCGGAGCTGAGCAATTTTAACTATTGAGGTAATTATATTCATAGAATGCATATTTCGCCCTATTATAGTACAGTTATTATATCTTTATTTTCGAAAGTGGTTCCGGAAGTGGCCAAAGTCGAGGGTCGCAGTTCTTCGACTCTAGATGCTTCATGGGTTAACGAATTACGTTGCGCCGGATCAAGAGATAATGCTTGAGTCGCTGTCCTCCAGGAGACGTTGTCGGATGTTATTTGACAAAATATGTTGTTGTTCTTTGACTTAGAATTAGTCCGGCAGAACCGGGCCTTAACATTGTTTTGGGACATAAAGTTTTTTTCATTGTTTAGATATAATGTATATGACATATATAATGATACCCAGGTTGGTGGGGAGTATATAATGTTGAGCAATTTTTTTAAGTGGATTTAAAGTATTCGGTCACAGTTTTGTTTTGACGGCGCTCGCGTGAGGACGTCTGACGGAGTCGGGAATTACTTCATAACGATACTACCCATATACTACAAGGAAAATTGTGAGTTGTATTTATTCCTATTTCTTATTGGGAAACTTAATATTTAAACCCATTTTATCGGCTGCGGCTGGTAAAGTTGGACGTATGGAATCGAAGAACAAACAAATAAACGTCGGGGTGAGGATGAAATTGGGCCTTCAATCAAATTGAGAAATGTTGCATTAACTAAAACGACAGAAGCGGAAAGTCAACAATTCCGCGTTGTGATATCAGGTGTTGACCGTCCAATAAGGACATACAATCCTAATGCAGTTAATAAAGGGTTACGTGAACAAATCGGCGAATACAAAGTCGTGAAAGTTTTGGCTAGTGGAGAACTATTGATAGATTGTTGTGGCAAATCCCAAATGACGAAACTGATAAATTGTAAACAATTGGGTGACGCGAAAATTCCTATTAAAGCGGAAGAATATAAACAAACAAACGTTCAGTCGAAAGGTGTATTTAGTGGAGTGCCGATTGACATATCTGACTCCGAGCTATTAAACTTTCTAAGCGATCAACACGTCATAAAGTCGCAGAGATTTAAGGTACGAAAGACAAACAATACTTCATTAAATAATACTGAAACAACTCCAAGTTTATCCGTTCTGTTATT